GAGAAGTTTCTATTTAAAGAACACGGAGTTTGTCAACCGACTGTTCAGTGCCGAGAAGCTTCCTTTCATAGGCGATCCATTTCTTAGGAGACAGGTGGAAGAAAAATGGGCTCTGGACATATTCGTCAGATATCATGGTTTAAAGTTCAAAAATTTATAAACAAAAGATCGACTTGGAAAATCATTCTATACATTTTGGCAGTAATAAAAACCGGGCTTAAAAATCTACTCAAAGGCTATCAAAGCCTTAGGCAGACCTAAAATCTTACGATGTGACTGCGAACGACGACTATTTCAGTTTACGACACTTATTACGAGCAACTGTGCTGACTTTTCTTCCCATATACACAAACCTTTCTCAAAGGTTTTTTTTTATCAAGTTCATTTTTAGCTTCCCTCCGATGAAATCAACCAAATGCTTCAATCACTCCGCAAACCTTAATTGGTTTTATTTCAAAATGAGACCTTTCTGTTTTGTCATTAATTAAAGATTATAAATTTCCTTTTAAATAGCAGTAAAAGATAAGTAGCCAGTGCAATTTATTAGAATGTATTCTTCCTATTTCTCTGAGAAATTAGGGTTTGCCTTAGACTTAAATAAATTTTAATTAGACAATTAATGTAGGTTGTGTATTAATTTTCACGATTAATTAATTTATTTATTAACCTGTAATAATGAAGCTTGTTATAGTAAGTCTAGGTTAAAAAGATACCACTGAATCTGCCCTGGAACTAACTCAGTATGGAATTAGATTTGTATCGTATGAGAGTTATAAAGTAAAACAAAATTGGACAATTAAATTAAGTAATACGGTTTTAAAGTGAACGTCAATAGCTGGGAAGAAAAATTTAATTTAAAAATGGTGTACCGTTATAAAATCTGTATCCTCTCACTCGTCACTTCTCTAATATATTTTTTATTTATCTCCCCCCCCCCAAAAAAAAAAAGATAGTAGCACGTGGTACAAAATATACTGTTCGTTGAGTAAACTTGTTTTAGTATGTGAAATATTATCCCAAAAATTTAATTTGATGTGTCTAGTGAAACCATCCGACTTTTTTCCCCTTCGTACGTAAGAGCAGCAATACATCAGTAGAAATAAGACTCAGCCAGTTTTCTGCATAACGTAACAATTACCCCAGAAGATAAGACAAGTCTTTCTTGCGAAACGTGACATCTCACACAGATTGAAACGTGTTTTTTTCCTCTCTTGGTGATATAACCGCAGCCGGAATTCGACCATCGATGCAGAAAACAGCGAATTGCGGGAAATTCATTCCCCTCTCAATTGCCGATTAAATTCGACAAGGATATTTACGTTCTTCTGAGAACTGGTTTTTTTAGTTTTCTTTTTAAATCTCTGGATGCGTAATCTTCAACCGATCGGTCATACTAGGATTAAGCAATCCGGCAGCTACTGTGGAGTTATTTTCTCTAATAAGCAGGAAAGAATCTGTACGAGCATAAAACTGAAATGGCAAATCCCCCTTGATGAAAGAGTATCCAATACCCAAAACTTGTCCCATGGACAAAATAGTCGACTTTAAACAAACCCAAGATGTAAAAAATAAACCACGGATATAGCAGTCATAAAATCAAATGCTGAGAACTCATGGGTCATTCTCACCATAATCTTTTGAATTTGAGGTTCATGCAATTGAAAGCGGAGCCCTATTCAATCTCAACAGACCTAAGAATAATTTAGGGTCCAAGTTACCAAAGCCTGTCTCAATTTACAAGATCAAACAAAACAAGTAGGGTTTAACGAATTTAGCAGTCGTAAAATCAAATGCTAAGAACTCATGGGTCATTCTCACCAGATCTAAGAATAATTTAGATAATCATTTAGGCCCAACAGTCATCAAAGCCTGTTCTCTTTTACAAGATCAACCAAAACAAGTAGGGTTAAACACTCACCACTGAGCTCATGGAATTTTAGAAATTAAAACATATAAACAATAATCAGGATTTTTGGGCAATCAGCAATGGGTACAGAATTGAAGCAAAGGAAATCTCAGAATGCAGAATAGAAATCAAGAAGCGGCTGAGAATTATGCGGTCTTAATGCACATCTGAAGATTAAGTCATCATAACATGTCAGATTCTGCAAAGTAGTAAAAAACCCAAACCAAATTGATTAGTATGTGATATCTTAACCGTGTGAACTTATTTTCAAGATTCTTTATCAGGTCGATATATTTTATTGAAATTTGTGGGCTCAGGTAAGCTCGGCTAATTATATGAAAAACCGTCTTGTATTGTCTTCAGGGCCTATGGCAAATATTCACTGGCCGTAATTCAGCCTGTAAGGTCTCTGGGGTATTTATTGCCAGGGAAGTTGTTGATATTCAATGGTCTGCAGATGCCGGCGCCACTCTCCATTTCTTTAATGAGTGCACCATCCTTCCAGCAATTCAAAGTATGAGGAGAATCGCCTGTGGCGGACAATATCCGGGAAACGCCCTGGATATGTGACATATTCGTATAAAATTTATTGTGATTTCACCCGTCCCTTATTGTATTCGTTTGAATTTAAATTATCAGGCAACAGCGTATGTGCTAAATATTTATAATTCCAACCCGTCCGAGACTGTTTATTATTATTGTTGTTATTTTCATTGAACGAATAAAACTATTAACTATAGATAATTTTCTATTATGTTTTTATTTGCTTTATTAAATGTAACTTTAAAAAAAGGGGGGGTCCGTGGCCGCAACGGTTTAGGCGTTGACACGGCGCTCATCAATGTAAGGTAAAGGTCCTGGGTTCGAATCCAGCGGTCCTGCATTCAAACCCGACAAAGGGCGCTGACACACGGAGCGGTTTTGACCGAAGCGTTTACCGCTTCGGTTTTGCTAGGTTGTGACACACGCAGCGGTATGATGTGCGTTTTGGCCGAAGCGGTTTTGTTTTCTCTCAGTTATTAAATGTATCCTATAGCAGTGCATATAAGCATTGAACGTCGCAAGGTTTTGCAGTTTGTTTAACAAGTCCTGTTTAATAAATATATTGTTCTGTAACTGTATGTAACTTCGTGTATTAGTTACAGCCTTACAGACTATTCCCCCATGTAGTACTTTTTTTTTTCTTTGATGAACATTCCATGGAACTGGCTACAAAGTGAAATCTCACAGTTATCTACACACTACGTCTCGTTCGGTTTTCTTTTCTCTATGAAGTTTTGAAAAATAGTCTTTAAAAATAAATATTTAAGTTGATTTATATTTAACTGGGATCTCGGGTAGCCGAGTAGGCGTGTCAGACTCTCGGCTTAGATCCTGCAGTTGTAGGTTCGATTCCCGTTTCGCTCCCCCCAACAAAAAAAAAATCAATCCTCTCTGATCAATAAAAGTAAAGTAATTCCTGTTCAGAGTCAAGCAAGGTTTAAACTACTTTTCATTTTTCATACTATAATTTAAAAGGCACAGAGCTGGGATTTGAACGAGGTCCCCTTCCTCCTCCCGATAATATTCAAAACAAAATCTTTATTAAACTAGTTACTACCATGTATCACCGACAGTCATACGCATACTTTGTACCCGTAAAGCTGTAGAAATCATTTAATTATAAGGTGATGTACTTTCAAGTAGTTGTAAAGTTAAAAGAGGCCCTGGAGGAAGGTGAGTTCGTTTTAAAAACGGTTGTGTTACTGTACAGCACCGTACAATCTGTAAATACTTAGATTCCTCCCCCCCATTTTTAGTGGTGGTTAAGTATCAATATGTAAAGCTTAGGCGTCAGGAAGTTGAGAATTAGCTAAAATTCTATTATTTATTAATCTTATTGAACTGGCATTGGCCCATTCCCCATGGAGTTCCCATGGATGAAGAGATACTTCTGGTGTCTGTTGTACTATCGTTGGAAGAAGAGAATGGAGAAAAAACACAGGAGAATGTGGGTTCATCCAATTGTCGAGAAGAGAAGCGAAAGAGGGCATTTTAAGAATTTGTTTTCAGAGATGAGGAAACACCCTGAAGAATGTTTTAACATTACCAGGTTGTAAATGGGCAGTTTTGACGAGTTACATAGTAAAATAAAATGCCGCATTACAAATTTTTTTCTCCACGTCTATTTTTTGCATCATAAAAGTAAATTAGAAGACTGACAAACGAACAACCCCTCAAGAAAGTGGGGAACAAACAAGAAAAACAGCTCAAATAAACGCCACGTGTGTCAGGGCTGATGCAATACTTGGGTACCACTCACCGCCAGGCGTTTTCAAAACCGACGCGTTGGGTCGTCTCCGCCACCGACCGACTCGGTTTGAAAACCGACAGGCGGTTACGACCGCTACGTCTGTCAGGTTAATGCAACAACAATGAACGACTCACCGCCTCGATTTTTCTCGCGATAAACGCTTCGGTCAAAACCGCTCCGTGTGTCATCGCCCATACTTACAAATTATTATTATTTTTTATTTTTATTTTTTAACAGTGGCACCCTGAGGGTTTATATGACCTATGCTGTTGCGAACCCTCGTTAAAAAAATAAATAACTTTAAAAAAACTATACTGCCTGATATAAATCTACTGTGATATGTATTAAGTTTTTGGAAGGAGCACGACGTCCTCAGAGATCTTTCCATAGTACACGCTGCAGAGATCTGATATTTCGCCCCCATACCTTTATCAAAGGAAAGTGAAACACGGCGAAATAAATAGGTGGTTGAAACAAGAGGGCGTCTTAATTATTGAATACCGCGAGTTGATTGGATGGCTACATCGAATGATATTGATTGATGCTTGGGCACGCTCTTCGATTCTTCAAAAGCGATGCTTATTAAGCGACTGTGAAATCGTGTAAAAAAATACGAATTGCACACAAAAAATATAAATCATCAAGTTTTTTATAACATTGAGACAGACTATTTGTCTGGGGGTCTTCTACGATATGATGTTTGTTTGATGTTGACAAATTTTGGTCGTGTTTTAATTGCACCCTTAATTTTTCCTTAATATGAAGGGATTTCCTTTAAAATATTTTCATTTCTCTAATTACCTGGAATCCGATCCCCAGTGCATGGCGTAGATTTTAGCCAAATGACCCCGAAGGGTTCTCCTCGTCCGCATCTGTATCCGACCGATTGGCTCCATGTTGTTCGTCGCCTGAACAAGGCTTGTATCGCACGCCGCCTTTCTCGCATCCTGGAAAAAAAATAAAAACATTAGTTTAATAATATGTACTACAACCAAATAACTTCTTTCAATTAATTAATCTTTATGTACGGTTTTGGTTGAAATGAAAAAATTAGTGTCACAAGCGGGATTCGAACCCACGACCTTCGACACCAACTCCCCATCTCAACCTACAACCTTTCGAATTTTCCCTCCTCTTTGCCATTTTTCAAATGTCTTGTATAATCAGGATTCGATTCAGGAGCCGAAGGTCATGGGTTCGAATCCCGCTCGTGACACTAACTTTTTCATTTCAATCAAAACCTCACATAAAAAGATTAATTAATTGAAATATGTAAGAATGTTTCTTGGGTTTCTTTTAAGAAACTAGACAACTATCTAAATCATTTTTTTTAACGCAATTTAATAATAGTACAAATATTGTAACACGTCTTGGTTACTTTTCACAGTTGGGTTGAGCTTTCCCACGGCGCAAGCTATGGGAAAAGTCCCAGGGAGATGAGAACAAAATTTACATTTTATAATTAATATTAATCTCGATCGGTCAATGATTTAATTAATAATCTGACATAGCTGTGCAGAAAGGAAACAGTCAGCTTTTACAATACATTATTTTATGAGTACGCCATGCCTCGCTGCCAAGGATGATGATGCTAAACAATTTAAACTCTCAACTTTCTGAAGTTTCAATTAGAAAAATATTCAAATTCTACTCTTTTTTTTATTTACAACCATAAACAAACGATAAAAGTACATAAACATACAGAAAAAAAGATAAAATAAACATTTTAAAGGAAGACCCATTACTTATAAACCTTTTCTATATTTAATCATATTTTCTTTTTTGTTTTAAAAACAAATTATCTGTATTTATCTCCCAGTGCTACTTTTATACATTGACCTCAATATTTTTCCTTTCATTGTTATTTCAGGATGTATTTTGAGCTATTATATCGACTCTCTATCTTTTTTTTTTCTTTTTAAAAAGCTAGATTACTATTCCATTTTAAAGTACAATCAGGGTCTCGTTTAACAATTAGAATTAGGGTTAGATTACCCAAATTTCACGCATACCCAAAATGGACAAAAAATCGCTTTGTAAAAATAAAGAAGACCTTATTTCAAATAAGTTTTAGCTGGACAAAACCAGAGGTTTATTGGAAATAAATGAAATCATCAGCAACAGACTACTGAATCCGATTTAAATATTTTTTGTCCTGACATACCTAATCAAACAATGCGTATATTATCCAAATGTTTTGGTTTTTAAAGAAATCTCGATCGTAACTTGTAACTGTTTCCCTCTACCTATGCCCTCCCTCAATTTTTCCTTGGGAATTTTTTTCTATTATATATTCTATTATATATATTCTAGTTACCACAAGCCATTTCCCCTCCAATGTAGCCATATTGAATTTTTTTAACGGTTAAATAATAAGCAGCAAGTATGCAACAAACGGAATTGTGTAATGGACTTACGACGAATTCTCTTCTTCCCACGTTACTTAGGTTTATATTTTGTTGTGCTTATTAATACGATGTTCAACTAATATGTTTTGTATGTGAATGTTCATTGTTTTAAAAACGCATGTCCAGGGTTAATGGCCAGAAAATCAAAGCATTAATTTAATTAATTTTGGATGAACTAGAGTGCTAAAAATGTATCTTATAAAAAAACTATACAACTTCTATAAATTTTGGGTATAAAGACTAGCTACAATTTTAATAAACGAAATAAATGCTTTATTATGGAATATAGTTTGATTTAAAACCTAAGGCACAATTTCAGGCCTTTTGGCAATTTCAGATTTCTGCCACGATCCCAACAAAATAATAAAATATAAGCGCTCCTAAAAGCCATTAAAAGTAATTATAAAAGTTATCGTTTTATTTTAATAACAGGTGAAGTAAAAAATTTAAAAAAGACTGTTATGTACCCATTAAGCACACTTGAATTAAATTGTTACTTTTTGGGTAAAATAAATTTTGTACGTCAATTTTTGTTGTCTTGCCAATGAACTGTTTTCCCTAATAAAAACCAAAATGGGCGCATTGCCATAAAATGAACTGTATTTCTCGTCTTTTTTTTCATAAAGAACATAAAAATAATACTTTGACAATTTATATTTAGTTCTAACCCTACAATTAAGCTCTTACTTTGAAATTCGGACCAAGTTCATTACATTTGGTATTTATGTGACTTGATCGTTTTCCGCCTATTTTATCTACCTTTCCCCTGCTATGGCCTGGCGGAAGTGTTTAGGCTTTTCGCCAACCTCAATGGTTGGTTTTCTTATTATTTTGTCAATAATGATAACACTAAATTAAGGAAGAAATTATTTATGTAGCTGTTGCCTACAGAGATTAAACGTAAGTGCTGAAAAGTAACTATACTTTACTTAAATCTGGGTTACGCCTTTCGGTAATATTACTTTTTTATTCCGTTCTTTTAGTCAGGCATCGAAACAAACAAAAAATAAGAAAATGGATTAATCCGAACAGGGTTTTAATAATTTGCAGACGTAAGACGTTCTGCCTAAAAAGTGAATAACAAATTATTTTTGGGGTCACCACAAATTTGTGAAAAGTGCCGGAGAGATGTCCCTCTGCTTCCTTTAGTCCGTGTATCCTTTTAAAACGGAATCAAATATAAACAAAAAATATTATAAAATGAGTATAACAGAGAGACATTTGTTTATTCCGTTAACATCGGCCCCGAAGCAGAAAGATTCTCAGAAGGTTCACAAAAGCTGGGGTCATCTTGAACAAAACTAGCAATAAATCGCCACGATAAAGGCTTGGGAAATGGTTATTTCTTTGTGACTACAGTAAAAGCGAAAGGGGGTTCGCTGAACTATGTATATTTTATGTAGGTTTTTTTTTTTTTGTTATTGTTTTGCGATTTTATAAATAAACAACTTTTCTCTCACTTCCTGCCTAACTTTTTATATTTCTTTTCGCATCCTCTATTGTTCTATAAATTTATTTAAGGTGCTCGGTCAAATATTTCTAATTAAAGTAATTAATAGAATGATTTTTTCAAATGGATTCGTATAGGATAACTTGTATTTTTTCGTACTTTATTCCTTTTAAAATATATAAAGGATAGATAATTAAAGGCACCTTTACTTTTGTTTTGATACTTCAAGGTTCACCTAATATTGTTTGGACACTAGGTTTTTTTTTTTTTTTTTTTTAAACAATGGATACCAGGAACTGGAGGAGTTCCCTCCTGAGCACTGCAGCTGTACAGCTTATTTATCCCTGGCTCCATTTTTTGGGGGCTCGCAACACAAGTGTGAATTTGAGCCCCCGGTGTGCCATTCTTCCATCGAAGAAACTCACTTTTGAAGGGGGTTGGGACCAAATTCAGGGTCGCTGAGATCTGATCCACCTCCTTCCATGATTCAATTGCGACTACCGGTCCCCTTAGGCGTCAGAAAAATTCCAGAGGCGACGGTAGGGATCGAACCCACGACCGCGTGATCTACTAGCCGAGAGTCTGACGGCTTAACCACTCGGCTCTACCGCGGCCCCCTGGTACTGATTGCTACTTTAGTTTCAGGGTATCGTAAAATTTGATCGATGGTATTGCCAATTGAGTTTAGATACTTCTGCTACTTTTGCAGTGTTGTGGTACTTCAGGGTATCACTATATTTATTTCGACACTTCAGGGTATCGTGACTGGTACTGATACCGCAGAGCATTGCTACATTTCTTTCGATACTTCAGGGTATTCCTACAGTTGTTTCGATACACCAGGTATCTTCTTTCGATACTTATTGGTTACGCTACTCATATTTTAATACCAAATCCCTGGCAATATATCCTGTTCCTCTTGCCCTCAATTACTGAGTTGGTTCTGATCTTATCTTTTAACCAATTTAGCAATTGGATGCTAAAAACAACTGCTTGGGTTAACGTCGAACTACTTATTGAATGTGACTATGGTTAGGCAAAGCACAATAATACTTTTCATCCAAGTGCAACCACAGTTTATATCATGAAATTAAATAAAGGATAGTAACATTTAAATGTAGAACAAATTTATTATTAATTTAATTATTGCATCTTTCTAGTTTAGTATACGTTTTACTGTTCAATTACAAAGTTTAGAAGGGTTTTGATGGACTTTTATTTAACATAAGTAGGATTCTACCTATATAGGTATGAATATGTAATTACATGGGCCGCAATTGACGAAAATCACACCCTCAACGTAAAAAAAGGGCCACGTTGCGACGCAGTTTTTTCATAATTATGCTTTTCAACTCCCCTACCGACTGGTATAAATATGCTTTTATGTTCGTCTGTGCGTCTGCTGGGGCGGCGTCGGCCGGTTCAACAACAGCCCCCTTCGATGGGTGGAAGGGGAGAAAATCGCCTTAGCCGACAGGCAGAGGGGTGCGTGAGCTTGGAGGATGGTGGCGTGTGTGTGTCTGTGCGTGCGTGGTGTGCGGGATGGGCTGGGCGGACTAAGCCCTAGTCAATACTTGTTGCCTCTCGCCGACCCTACAGGTTGTCAGCGCGGTGGAAAAGGGATGACGGATTTTTAATTTTTCCCCCTTTCCGACATACAAAAAAATCTGGAATATAACAATTTCTGTAAAGAAGGGAAATATGAAATTTCATCCTCAAACAGTCAAGCGCCAGTTTAAATGAATTATTCTAGACACCTTCAGTTATTTTTATGGAAAAATTTAATTTAAAAGCATATCTTCTAGGTCGTAAACGTATTTAAGTTGATTTAAACTTCAACTAGAACTAGTTTTGCCTTATTTGTACTATTCATTCCAGCATTATTTACAAAAAGTACAAATATAGTTGAAGAAAGCCAGTTTTAAAATCCAATTAAAAGGCAACCTGTAAAAAGTTTAGACATAAAACTGTTTCCATCCGTAATCCGGAAGAAAATAACTCCTAAAAATAGACTCAACACTACACTAGAAACGCTTCGAAGAAGGAAAAACCAATCGATTGTGGATTCTTACAAAAAGAGCCGAATCAC